TCTAGTACACGTGCCAAGGCAGAGCGAGCTAGGGCCGAGGACAGCGCCCTGGGGGCCTCGCCAGCTCCACCCACCTGTTGCTACCCCCGGGGAAGAAGAAATAGAGGCGGCTTTGCCTTGAAAAGGCCCCCAGGACCGTGTGAGGAGTAGGACAGGCACGGGGCACGGGGATGGCTATTCACCTGGGACAACACTTTGTATCTCCTGGGCCGTCACCTCCTTGGCACAGGATCAAGTGTGAGCCATCAAAATACAGAGCAGGGAATGATTCCCTCCGGGAGTCATGAGGCGGGCTGAGCAAACCAGAGGCCACTAGCACACGACAGGCCAGGGGGTATCTGAGGCCCCTTGGAGGGACCTGGCTGGGGTGGGGGGGCTGTGTGCAGAGGCAGCCTGGCTGCACCCACTGGAGCCTGAGCCCAGAGACGAAGTGGTCATACGGAGGGGCTGCCCAGCATGGGGGTCAGAGCCCAGCACAGGGTGGCAGGTGTGTGGGCAGGAGGCGGTGACAGTGGGCGAATGCTTACATACGGGGGCTGACCCAGTATGTAAACACATTAAGAAGGATGACAGCCAAGGTTTCACTGTCAGAGGACGGGATCACATAGGAAAGGGGGAACGATGAGAGGGGGAAAAGATGAGAGGAAACCCCGAGGTGCTGAATTAGAAGCAGGGGTATCACATGAAGGGGTCCTGGACAACGTGCATAGATGCGGAAACATGCATTACGTCAATGCGTGTCCACATACGTGACACCACAGACGTGAGCATGTGTGAGCACACACGCAAATTTTTCCCACGGAGACAGTCTGGGAGCCTCGACACCCTAAAATCAATGCGCACACCTAGCCCCATGTCCTCATTTCTAAAAGCCATCGTCCACTGAGGGGATTCAAGACTCCACAGAGAAATGGCTGATTCTAGAACAGAGACGTGGAAAGTACGAGATGAGCCTGGAACATTTGTCCCACAAGATAAGGAAGCTCACGCAAAGTGAAGGGGTTACGTGGACAGGACATAGAGGCAGGTCCAAGTTGCCCCTAGGAACCAAGTCAGGGAGAATTTGAGCATCAGATTAAGTACTGACACCGACAGTGATGACCGATTGAATAAGACAGGCAATTAACGGGGAGGAAGGAAGTATTTCCACCGTTCAAAGTACCTCTCCCAGAAAACCTTACTCATCACTAATGAACGGGGAGACGGCTGGCGGACATAACCCAGGCCAGGGATCCAGGCAGACGCTGTTGCAACAGGACACAGCTACACTGCGGGGACGCCACCCAGGATGTCGTGAGGATGCAGCATCGCATCCGAGGCATCCCTCCAGGACGGGTGACCTGAATCCAGCCGTGAGGAGGTGTCCCACGTCTCCAAACTGAGTGACATCCCACAGAACACTGGCCTGTGGTTGTCAAGCATCAAGGCCACGAAGGTTAATGGGAGTCTGACAGTTCCAGCTTGAAGGAAACCAGGACAGGACAACAAAGTGCAGTGGGCGGGTCAGAACCAAGTCCTCTTGCCGAGAAGGATGCTATTGCATCAAAAGCCCACCTCAGATGGAGCCTGAGCACAAGACCATGACGGCGGTGGAAGCTGGCCTCCCGATTTGGATGGTTGCGTGTGGCTACGTAGGAAGTGCCCTTGTTTGTAGGAAACACGCACTAACACGCTCAGGGATGACAGGGCCTCGTGTCAACAGCCTGCTCCAAGACTCAGAGGAAAAAACAGCTGTATTTGCCCCTTTTCTGTAAACTGGGATATTCCGAAGGTTTAAAGAAATAAGAGGAAAAGGAGGAAAGAGAAAAAGGAAGGGGAATAAAAACATTACAAGAGTTGGAGGCAGGGGAGGGCAGGAGGGACCTCGAGCTGTGAGCCAGAGGGGCCTCTGAGGGTGCCGCCCCTCCCCTCCCGAAGGCCAGGGATTCCTCCCATTTGGGCGCCCGTCCCCACTCTGCTGTGGCTGCAAGGCCATCACCCTCTGCAGAGGACCGCGGTGAGCCAGGGAGGCTGGCCCACCAGACCCCAAAAGCTGGAAGCGAGAGAGACAGATACAGGGCGAGGGGGGTGGACAGACCCCCGAGGGCAGGAATCACTGTGCAGTGAAACAAGGGCAGAGGCAGGGGAGGGTCCAAATATTCTTTGGAGGCTCCTGAGGGCCCCCAGGGTTGAGACTCAGTAATTCGGAGAGGAATCTGATCCCACAGGTACTTGCACACACCCTCCCCTCCTAAGAGGTTTGAACTTTCACTTTCAGGATCGGCAGGCACTCCCGGTGCTTCCTCGTCAAACTAAACACACTTTGGGAAAGAGCACAGGAACGGCCGCCGAGAGCAGAGGCTCTGCCCCACGTCTCCTAACCTCAGTTTCCACATCTCTCAAGTGGGGAGAAACACTTGCCGTATTTCTCAGAGTTGGGGGAGGGAGGTCAGATGAAAACACGAGGACGCCAGGCTCCGTCTCCCTTGTAGAGAAAGAATTGGCCAGTTTTCTTTCTCCATCGTTCGTAGGCAAGTCGAGAGGAACCCTCTCTGTCCCTTCTGCCCAGGTCAAGGACTTTCCCAACGAGTGTGCAGAGACACCTTGCTCCCCCGAAACAAGCGAGATTGGACACCAAGCCGGAGGGCGGGGTGGGGGGATGTGAGCCACGTTTCCCCTACCCAGGCTGGAAGGACTTCTGGACTCTTCACGGCCCCCTCCACTTGCCCACCACCGCCCCTCACTCCCTCGTTCCCTCGTCCCCCAGCTTAGACTCCGTGGTCCATTACTGTGATCAACCACTGGCTCCTCCCTCCCTCCACTGTGTCCCCAGCGGCGCCCAGATCCAGCTGGCCCTCCCCTCCGCTCCGACTGGGGCTGCTGGACGTGGTTGGGAACAGCCGCACACCAGGGAGGTGGGGGCCCCTGCAGGTCTGTGTCCGCCCATCTCCAGCGGGCGCTGACCCTCCCCCACACCAGCCCTCCCTCCCTCCCTCTGCAAGACCGTCCCTTCACTTCTCATCTCCCTCCAAAACCCTCACACCCTCCCCTCCCCGTCTCCCGTACCAGCGACGGCCTCTTTCTTCCTTGAGAAAATGGAAGCAACAAATCGGGGCTTCCCTCCAGCAGCCCACCTCCATCGGACCCACACTCCCCACGTCCCCTCTGTTACCATGGCTAAGCTGTCCCTTCTCCAAGAAGAAGACCCACTGCTCCACCTGTGCTCTGGATCCCACCCCCTCTTACCTTCTCAAAGTCCTTGCTTCTGAATTTATTTTTTCCCAAATCTGCAATTTTTTTCTGTCTATCTACAGGACAGTGGGATCGTACACACATGTTTTCATATCTCCTATCCTTAAAAACCAACTCCCTTCCTTGGCCTCACGTCTCCCTGTCGCTACAGTTCCGTTTTTCTGTTCCCCCATCACAGCAAAAGGAGTTATTTACAGCCCTTCCTTCACAGTCTCTCCTTAACCAGCTTTACCTGGACTTGCATCCCCACCCTCCATCCAGTCTGCACCTGTTAAGAACCCCAATATCCTCCATCGTCACAATCGTTCAACGGTCACGTCTCTGTTCTTATCTTACTTGATCCGTTGGCATCCTCCTCCTTTACTCCTCTTTCCCGAAGGTCCATTGACCTCACTGACTGTATCTTCTCTGCCTCTCGCGGCCTCTTCTCCTCTGCTTGACCTTCAAATGTTGAAATGCGCTGGAGCTCCATCTTTGGCCCATTTCTCTCCTGTAGCTCTACATTATCCTTGAGGGAACTTGTTCTGGGGCTTTAAATAACATCTATACGCTGAAGACCCCCAACCACAGAGCCTGACCCTCCCTGGAACTCCAGATTCGTATCCGAGTCTCACTCTACACGTCCACCTGCATCTCCCCGAGGATCACAAACCTAACCCATGCCAAGGAGAACCCTTGATTTCTTCCTCCCTCCTGTCACTCAACATTCCACCATCCACTCTTACTCAAGGCAAAAAGCCAGCCCTGCTCCTGTCTTGTTTCTCTGGCCCCAGGCAGTCCGTCAGCGGGTCCTCTGGCCTCTATTTCCCAGCATCGCCCAAGAGGTCACTTTTTCCCACCTCCACGGCTGCCACCCTGGCCACACAAGAGGCCTAGCCGCCTCCCCCCACCCCGGCCCCGGGGCTACGAAGTAGCCTCTACCTGCACACTGATGCCTACAGCCTATCCCAGCCCATTCACCATAGGGAATGCTCCTCCGTTGCTTAAAATCCTTCAAAAGGTCTTCATCATCCTTAGGAAAAAAGTCCAACCTTGTTTTCCTAGTTTATAAACTAGGAAATGAGTGATGTGGCCCCGCTCAGCACAAGGCCTGGGGACTAAATCTCATCCCGCTGACTGATGGGAGATACAGAAATTCTTCTGATCGGGGACGCTTGTGGGGGTGAGTGTGTTCAGGATGGGTCCCAGAGGGAGGGGCCGGGGATGTCACGAACACGTGGGAAGGGAGTGAGGAGAGGAAGGGAAGGGAACGCACATATCTTTATACTCAGACTCCAGCTGCAAGAAGGTCCTGCTCCCGAGGGCAACCTACTTGCCAAGACAGCCCCAGCGGCAGCAGGGGCTATGGCGTGAGAGGACTGCATCTCTCCAAAGGAAGAGTCTGGGGTCTGGGGGGACGCCACTAGGTGGGTGTCAAGAGAGGTGGGGCTAGGGTTCGTGGAGAGAGAAGAGGTGGAGGAATGGTTGCCATTTTGCAAAACTCAACAGATGCCTACAGCTGGGGGCCAGGCAGAGGGCTTGGAAATGAAGGATGTAGCCTCAGGCTGGGCTCACTGGAGGCTGCGCTGGGACAGACGTGCCCTTGGCCGACCTGGCCGGGATTGGGACCCTCGGAGCCCCGTGGGCACAGTCCTGCTAACAGGGCCTCAGCTGGCCTCCACGTTTCCAAGGCCAAGCGCTCTTATGTCAGTCTCTGCCACCCAGACAAGAAAGTACAAGTCCCCTCACCCCCTTCCATCCACGGGAAAGCACGCAGAGGTAAGTCTTACTGTTGTCCAAGTGGTTGGCCTTAATGATCTTCTCTGAATAGTCAGAAATACTGGAGCATTCAATCTAGAAAGGACACAGAGCAAAGGAGGAAGAATCACCGTATGTCCAGGGCCAGTGTAACAGACGGAGGGGCAGAGGTCTGGAGGGGTGCAGTGACCTGCCCACAGCTGCACGGCTACTTCGTGGCAGATGAAAACCTAACCCGCGGCCCTCCCGACTCACGGGCTCTTCCGCTGGTCTGCCTTTGCCCCACCATGGAGGGCCCAGTCTCTGAGCTGGGAGATCTGGGAGGGGCTGGCAGGCCTCACTCTCCTGGCACAGTCACTGCCCTCCCAGGAGAGGAGGTGGGAGGCAGAGACCCCCAGAGTGGCTGTGAGCCTCCCTGAGGTCATCCTCCCACCCCCAGCCCTCCCTGGTTAAACGGCACGGTCCACAAGAAGGACCACCTGAAAATGGCAAATCAGGGCCTCAGGGCGTGTTAAGATCCTTCCCCACCCCACGGGCAGACACCTGTTAACTCTCATCCCTTCCGCAGTCTCCACCTTTGAAAGAATTGGTTCTTTTGATTCTAGAAGTCTTTCCAGGCTCCCCAAATCTCCTAAGCAAAGGGCCAAGGTATTTGAGAAATTCGCTGATCATAGGCTGAGAGCAGGACCTTGTGGGAACAGCAGACCAAGCCCCAGCCTGGGGTTAGGAGGCCTGGGACAGGCGGGGAGGCCAGGTTGCTGGAAACAGAGGGACAGCTGCCAAGACCTATGGCTGGAGCCCCGCACCTGGAAGAGAAGGACGGGCAGCCCTGCCTAGCCTGGCTCAGCCCTGGGCTCCCGTCCGATTCCGGAGCTGAGCTGGGGCCTCAGAGACACCCTGGGAGGGAGGGTGGGGCGTTACAGGGGATGTACGTCCTGCCCTGAGGCTCTGCGAGCGCCTTGGAAGGGGAGTCGGTCCCTTGGCCAGAAGCCCCCATCCTGGAGGGGAGGCCCTGTGAAGGAAGGAAGGCTGGCCGGTGGGGAGGGACAGCACCGTGAAGGACTTGACCTTGGGCGTCCGGGCTGGACCCGTACCCTCAACACGCACCTCAGGTGAGTACATCATAGCTTTCCCAGTCAAGGCTACGACAGAGGTGTCTTGAGACAGGTCAGGGGTCCCAGAGAACCCCTCCAGCCAAGGCCCCGGTACCTTCCGGGTCAGGCATGGAGGAGGATGCTGTTCCTGCCAGGGGCTTAGGGACAGGCACTGATGGGGGGACACGGGGACTTGGAGGGCTCTAGTCAACCGGGAGCCGGGGGGTGTCTCAGGACAGGCTGCAGGATGACCAAGCTAGCGAAGCCCCACTGAAAGCTCCCCGCCAGCCTCTGCGCTGGGCTGTCCTGTGCACGTGCTGTGTATTGACTGCAGTGTGCCTTGAATTTTGATCAAGATGAATTCCCATTTTCCAGCCCTAGACCCACTGCATTTTTCAAATGTCAGTCGGAAGCTCAGAGCTCTTCTTTTACAGTTTCTTCCCAGCTCCGGAGCCTCCCAGCCCCCCATCCTCAGGCTGTGTGCAGCTGCATTGTGGGAGCCTTCCCAGAAGGTCCACCACTACCACCTCTAGCTGGAGAGGCAACAGCGGCCAGAACAGCAGAATTAAATCTACCAACTTGCCTTTAAAGAACAGAGAGAGAAGACCGTCTTGTTACCACCTAGGGCCCCGACTATACTAATAAACGCTGAGCATTTGACTTACAACAGGCGCCTTTCTAAGCACTTGGCTTACGTATTAAAATCACTCACTCCTCACAGTCACCCCGTGGGCAAGGTGCTGTAATTATGCCCATTTTATAGAGGGGGAAACCGAGGTACAGAGGAGAAGTGAATTGTCCAGATCACACTTCTCGGGAGCGGAAGAGCGGAGATTCCAACCACAGCTCGCGGGTGTGGCCACCCTGCCCTGCCACCGCAGCCCACAGCAGGGCTAAGGACTCTAAGGTAATGATGACACCAAAACGGTTTCAGAAGAGTCAAAAGTCCTCCACAAATGTCAGCTATTGCGGGACAAGGCCAGGAGCAATGCCCAGGTGACAGGGAGCCCGGGAGCTTGCCCACCTCCTGAGAGCTATGTCTGACTTCCGCCTGGAGGGTGTGACCCCAGCAAGGAAGCGTCCCCGCAGAGGCCAGTGGAGGGAGTGGCATGCTCACCCCAAACACCTTCTTGGCCCCTGCTTTGGCAGCAAACATGGAGAGGATCCCAGTGCCGCTCCCCACGTCCAGTACGACCTTGTCCTTGAACACGTGCTTGTTGTGATACATGGAATTCCGGTAAGTGAGCGTCCGCACCTCGTCCTTCAGCATCTCCTGTATGGAAGGAAAGGTAGAGCTGATGTATTCAGGGCACCTGGGCGCACACCTGTCAGGTCATGGGCCCAGGGCTGTCCCGACAAATTCCTCAGGGACCTCAGTTCTGTCATGAGCAGAGCCACGGAAGAGTACAGCTGCGCCGGGGCTTCCCGCATCAGTGCACACAACGTCCTAAAACTCCGCCCCTTACAAGGCGAAAGAGCGCCTTGTGCCATTAGCGGAGAAACTCCCGTCCAGACCTGGGAAAGCTCCAACTTAACAAAAACCCAAAGAAAGGAGCAATACAAACAGCATGAGAGATTTAAGTTAGACCTGAAGCAGAACTTTCTGCCATCGTGAGAGAATTGTCGTGAAACAGGTTATTAAAGGAGGCTGTGTGTGTGTGTGTGTGTGTGTGTGTGTACTTTTTCTACTTGACTGGTTTTTTTTGTTTTGTTTTGTTTTTTTTGTGGTACGCGGGCCTCTCACTGGGTGGTGAACCCGAGGGGCTCCCAAACACACGGCACCCACTCCACGTCAGCCTCAATGCCGGGGCTGGCAGTGCCTGTTCTGGCAGCCAGAGAGGAGGTGCAAGAGGTTGATAAGAGGGAGGCAACAGCCTGGGTCTGCATCCTGGCTCTGATGCTGCCTGGCTGTGTGGCTTCAGGCAGGTTACTTATCCTCTCTGTGCCTCCCTTAAGGGGACTGCAGTGTCCACTTCAGAGTGTCATTAAAAGCATCACAGGAGGGGACTTCCCTGATGGCACAGTGGTTAAGAATCCGCCTGCCGATGCAGGTGACATGGGTTCGAGCCCTGGTCCGGGAAGATCCTACACGCTGTGAAGCAACTAGGCCAGTGCGCCACAACTACTGAGCCCACTCGCCACAACTACTGAAGCCCGCGTGCTAGAGCCCATGCTCTGCAGCAAGAAAAGCCACTGCGATGAGAAGCCCGCGCACCGCAATGAAGAGTAGTCCCCGCTCGCCGCAACTAGAGAAAGCCCGCACGTAGCAACGAAGACCCAATGCAGCCAAAAATAAACAATTGAATAAATTTTTTTAAAAAGCTATAAATTTCCCTCTAAAGATTGCTTTAACTGCATTCCACAAATTCTCATATGTTGTATGTCTTAGTCACTTCAGTTGCTATAACAAATTACGATAGAGTGGGTGACTTAAACATGTATGTCTCACAGTTCTGGAGAATGGGAAGTCCAAGATCAAGGTGCCAGCAGATCCAGTGTCTGGTGAGGACTTACTTCCTGGTTTGCCTTCTCCCTGTATCCTCACATGATGGGGAGCAGAGCGAGGAAGCAAGGCCTCTTATAAGGGCATTAATGCCATTCACAAAGGCTCCAACCCTCATGACCTAATTACCTCCCCAAAGCCTCACCTTCTAACACCATCACATGGGGAGTTAGAATTTCAACATATGAGCTTGGTGTGGGGGCGGGGGGAGGGACACACAAACATCAGATCCATAGCACTGTGCTTTCATTATCATTCAGTTGAGAATATTTTCTAATTTCTCTTGTGATTTCTGACCCTGTTCTCAGTTGTTGCCTAATTTCCAAATATTTGGAGATTTTCTAGACAATTTACTGTTTACTGGTTTCTAAATTAATTCCATTATGACCAAAAAAGCATACTCTACATGATTTCAGTCTTTTGAAACTTAACTGAGATGCGTTTATGGGCCAGCATATGATCTATCTTAGTGAATGTTTCCATGTGCACTTAAAAAGAATGTATATTCTGTACTCTGGGGATGCAGTGTTGTATAAATGCCTACTATGCTGGGTTGTTTGATGGTGTTGTTCAGATTTTCTACAACCTTACTGTTTTTTGTGTGTGTATCTGTTCTATCAACCACCAAGAAAGAAGTGTTCAAAAATCTTCAACAGTGGGATGTATTTTTCTCCCTCTAGCTCTGGAGATGTTGCTTCATGTTTTTGAAGCTCTGTGCACGCATGTGTGATGGCTTTGTAATCAGTCACCTTACCAGGTGGAGCTATATTTCCCAGAAATGTCTTTCTACGATGTCTCCAGTCAAGGTGGTTCATGAGGGAGATTCCCACGAGATTCAGAAGATACAAAGGAAGCAGGAAGCATTTTGGAGTTCACGTTTGTCACTGCTGATGGGTTGATCCACCTTGTTGGCATGAAGCAGCAGCTGGGCTTACAATTGCTCTACCTTTGCCTTCAGCCTCTGTGACTCCTGAGCCAGGTGTGTGTGTGTTTAGCTCCAAGGTGAAACACTCCAGCCTCTATAGGATATGCTCCCCACCAAGGTCAAAGGCAATAGAATGGATGTGTGTTTCAGCCCGTCCTCATAGCGTTCAAGCTCGTGCTTATGAGTTGTAGCTACTCCTGATCTCCCCTTAGTTTGCATTCATAGTCCTTTCCTGGTTACCTACCCTGTAACCTACCTACTTCAAGCTTCAGCATCAGACATGGAGACAACAACCTTACACAACAGCATGAGCCAATTCCCTGCAATCCTGAACTGAACTTATACATATGCTTCCATGGTTGAGCCCTGACCGATACAAAATTTCATACCAAGAATAGCTCCTATGGAGCAAAATCTAAGAATGGGTTCTCTGAATTGGTTCTGAGTTTTCTGGAATTGGTTTTCTGATCTGATTAGATTTAAAGGCACTAAGAAGTCTATTGCCATTGGTGAAGAGGGCACTGGTGAAATGGCAAAAAAGTTACTCAAGTTTTAGCCTTAGACACCGGTGACAAAGTTCCTACAGAAGGCAAGACTCTGGATGACCAAGTATTTGCCACCTTAGAACATTTTAGTCAAAGTAAGGAATGTAATGGGGTGGATTTGTTGGTTGGTTATTGCTAATTGTGCTAGAAAACTTAGAAAAAGAGAATGATGAGCTCAGGGATTTAAATTCCCAGCTCAAGGTCTTCATATAGCACCTGAAAACTTCTATGACTTCTGGGAAAAAAAAGAAAAGGAAAGGAAGAAAATAAAAGAAAGGAACAAAAACCTTATTTTCTTGCAGGGTCAAGATTTCTGAAAACCAAAGCCAAAGTCTAATCCTGCCTGAATTACAACACAAATTGAATTCCCATCCTTGCAAGGCCTCTTTTGTTAAAGTTGAGTCATCTGTTGGGAAAGAATAGGGTCCTGAAAATTGGAATAGAGGCATACAGGCAGATTCTGATGAAGCTGGGACCTCAAGTCCCTAAATTACCGTATTCTCTGCCAGTAGAAACACCTTCTACCCCTGCCCAAGAAAGTTTGTTTTCCTTTTCCTGAAGAGTCATACTGGTGTCCTTTGAGGTAGTTGCTTGCCAGGTAATGTTAATACTCCTCAGGACCCATCCCCAACAACCCTATAACTGGATTTGACTCCACGCAGACCCCAAAGAACAAGGCACAAAGGGTGACCCATGAGGAGGTGTGATACACACCAAAAGAACTGCATGATACTTCTAACAGATAGATTAAAATATAGGGAATAGATGTGGGGATGTATAGTAAGGGTGAGAGATCAAGATGGAGGGAACATAAAGTTGGATTGAGCCAAGTCTATTGACATAGGTCCACTAAGCAAAGATTGTAGATTCACTGTTTTACCTCCAGGGTCTTGGAATGCCTCTAACAGTTGGCATGGTTGATTGACTGAAACATGGACCAAAAGTTAGTCTACACTAAATGAAAAGGAAATGCCAGAACGTCCTTGATCTGCTGAAGGGAAAGGTATCCAAAGGCTTCAGGAGACTGGAATGTTAAAATGCATCTGTCACATGAGACTCGCTCACCAACGCCGGAGAACAGACCTCTCACCGCAGCTGTGAGGAAGAAGTTTATGAGGGAAGTCCAGTAGCCTTGAAGAGCTCTGTGTGCCCTTCTCTGTAGATCAGAGATTACACTGGGAACTGAGATTCCTAGTTGCCATGGGAACAATATCCAACTAGGATCCTGGGGTATCGGGGACCAAACTGTAGTGTGTAATCGCCAAAGATGAGGTGGGCATAGTTACTGTAAAGGAGAGGAGAGCCAAAGCAGTATTCAGGGTAGTCGGGCTCACCAAGACCTACGGTGCTGGCCAGTTCATTAAAGTACCTCTATGTTTGTTTGTTTTGTCAATTTTAGACATTTATCCTCTATATTTCTTCAAACATTTTTTCTGTCCCATTCTTTCTCTTCTCCTCTGGAATTCCAATTACTCACATGTTTTACCACTTAATTCTGTCCCAAAAGTCACTGAGGCTCTGTTCACTTGTCAATTTTTTTCTCTCTATTCTTCAGTTTCAATGATTTCTCTTTCCCTGTCCTCGTGGTCATAGATATTTTCTTCTATGTATCCTATCTGTTATTAATCCCATCCAGCGAATATTTGGTTTAGCTATTGCATTTTTCAGTTGTAGGACTTCAATTTCACCTATTATATCCATCTCCTCCTAGAAATTTTCTTAAATCGTATTTATTATAGTTATTTACAAATCTTTATTTAATCATTCCAACACCCGGGCTGTCTATAGATCTGTTTCTATTGACTGATTTTTCCCTTGACTATGAACCAAATTCTCTTGTTTCTTCACAGGTCTTATCATTTTTATTTTATGCCATAGATGGTGTCCAAGGATCAATAGTGGTGAAGTTAGTTTGTTGTTGTTCTTTTTCCAGGAGGGAATAGCCTTTCTTTTGTTAGGCAGCTAGAATGATGGGCTGGTCAGTTCAATCCAATCAGGGACTGAGCAGGTTTAGGAGTTGAGTAGGTTGGGATGCGGGACTTTAATTCCTGTATCAGGGCCTGGGGCCCCACAGGGGCTAAAAACATTTGTGTTTGCTTTTCAGCCCAGCACTGCCTCCTGTGTTGCCCCAAGGCTTATATCTTTGGTCATATTAGAAACTGAATAAGGTGAGGGTTTGGTTAAATTGAGTTCATGTCTGACTCTTAACTACTTCGAAAGTGAGCTCAAGCCTCTCCCTCCGGAAGCTCTCTGGAACCAAACCCTGCAAGACTGCTGAACATCAAAAGGACAAGGCCTCAGAACTGTGAGGCCACAAGACTGCAAGACGGTATCCCTAGAACCAGGCACAGGGCACGGTGTGAAATTGGTGCTCTGTAACGACAGAGCCCAACTCCTGCACACGAATCATAGCTCCGAAGTTTTTGAGCTCTCCGGCCAGCCCAGAATATCATTTAGCATTCCGTGTCTCAATCTCTTCATCTGGAGAATGGGGTAAAAAGAGAAGCTATTTCATAGGGCTGTTGTCATGTCTAAATAGGTAGAGTTAGTATTACAAAAGTGCTAGCTCTTGCTCTTTGTGAAAACTGTGACCTTTTCATCTCTGTGAAGAAATTGTTGAGGGTGAGTAAGGAACGGAGGCAGAATAATGACAAAGGTTCAGAAATCTCTCAATCATACTTGTAGTTCAAAGTTCTCACTGCCTTTCCTGATGGTTGGCCCAGTATCTCTGCAGGTCCTGTTGCTGCTAAAAGGGATCCCCCCAAGGGGCCCCCTTTAATTCATTATCTTTCATCACTTCTTCGGCCCCCCTTTCCCTTCTTTAAGGCTCTAGACCACAGGAGTTCATTCCGAAGGCACAAGTTCTGGGGGCGGGGGAGAAGTTGTGGCTTAGCAAGGCTTCCCCTACTCACCCTGTTCAAAGAAACAGTCTCTCCCCACCCTTCCTGTACCCCTGCTTTAATCACCCCTGAAGGAGAACAGCCCAAAGATGTCTCCAGACATTCAGCCAGGAGCATGCCACTCTTCAGTGAAAACAATTCCCACCCCCAGCTGTGGGTGACTTTATCTGCTGCCCACTGAACACATGGCAGCACATTGACTAATTGCTGGGAAATGAGGCCCTGAAGAATCTATTTCCAAAAAACCTGCAGTAAGATTGTGAAAAGAAGATAGCTGGCCAGGAGTGGGCTCAGCGCCCAGGGCTGGGGGGCTGGGAACAGGGCCCCACTGGGGTGGATTCTTCTGGCAGCTGAGGCCCCATGCCCAAGGCTGACCATTCAAGATGCTGAGAATTCAGAGCTAGGATCTCAGAGGTCATGGGGCTGGGCCGCTCCCCTCTGTGCACAAGGACACATCTGTCACATCTGCTCCTGTTCAGGACTCCTTTCTTTTCACAGAGGCCCTGGTCTGGAATGCACAGGCCCCTGACCTCCGGAGGCTGAGCATGGAGTCATCTCAGGAGAGGCCATGGGATGCAAGAAGAAAAGTGTCCAGAAGCACCTCCTGCTGTGCGCTCCAGCTCCCTGCACTGTCCCCCTGCCACTCGGCACTTCTTGTTTGTATTTATAGACTAAACCACCCCTATCCAGCCTGCACCATGTTTCCCAGACACTCACTGATCACTGTTAATCTGCGAGCTGGCAGTGCCGCTGCCCGCCCGTGTGAGCATCTTGTTAATGACGGGAAGAGGCTGCCAAAGGGCCAGCTCGGCTCCGGATGGGATGGCGAGACGTGGGTCTTGTCCAGACTGCGGAAGCAAAGGCATCGCCACGAGCCGTCTGGCATGGAAAGGAGATCCCTTGTGTTTGACAACGAGAAATGAACAGGCCCTGTCTGCAGAGAACGACGCTAGGAGGCCATCTACTTGCCCTCACCTCCTTTTACAGCAGGTGATCCTGGAGCCCAAACAGGCCGGAGGGGAAGCTCGGGGATGAAGGGAGGCCAGCTAGCTGCCCCAGCGTTAAAGACCTATGCATTTCCCCAGGAGCCAGGATCTAGGCCTGGTCCCCAGCAGCAGCAAGAAGGATTTAAGCTGGGTGATCACAAGTACTTCCCAGTGCGAAGGGCTGCTAAAACTATTCTCGGACAGGTTACTAAGGAGAGAAATGAGATGGTGACCTGCAGATCCTTTACTCCAAGTTCATTAGCTCAGTCTGCACTGTGTTTGTGTATGTGCAGGAACAGGTCTGATTTTTCTAGCAGTACATGAAATGGAGGGAGCCTGGTACATACTATATGTATCTGGTGACCCTGGGTATCTTCTCCCACTGGAGATCAGACCCTCCGGATGCCCGGCCTTCGTGGGGACCAGGCAGTACCTGAGTGATGAGATGAGCTGCTGTTTCATCAAACCCAGACAAATCAGACAATGTGCGGAGTGCCGGGGAACCCTGTCCTGAAGGAATCATAGAGATATAACAGCACCGGAGGGCACATCCTAGGTGCCTACGTGTGTTGCAGGGAGGGGTGGGAGGAATCAATGGGAGGGGGCTCTGCGGGGCTGGGGCCTGAGGACCGGAGGGCAAATGGGAGGGGCACACTGCCTTCGGCTGGTCCCTAATGGGGGTCCAGGCAGGCCCAAGGGGGGCATTTTAGGATCCCTGGAACTGCTGTCTCTTCCCAGAAATCTGCTCTGAGACAGGTGCCCAAGGACACAGGACTGTCCTTTAATTAGAGGCAGGGTCTTGAGGAGGGAAGCTCTTGAAAGCACCCTTCCTGCCTCCCAGACCTTCTCACCTCTCAGGCCTAGGACTGGGCTCCTTGCACCATCGCAACCCCACCCCAGTGGAATCCACCGAAAGCTGCAGCCTCAGCTGCCCAGGCCCCCCTGGGCCAGGCCCCCAGAACTAAACACAGGGCCCAGCCCCTCCCCCTGCAGGCCCCAGGCCTAATTAATGCTCTGACGGGGAGAGCAGTCCTCAGGGGCCAAACCCCTCCACCCTCTACCTCCATGGGAAATTGCAAAAGGACCAGCAGGAACAAAGCCAAAGTTTCCATAAAGAAAGAAAGGCTGTACGGCCTGGAAATTAGGAAATGAAGCCCCGGGTCCCCCAAACGTGAAGGTTTCATTTCTAGCTCTGAGTGTATCAGCTCGTGACCTTGCACGAAAAGGAACCAGCAAAGATGAATGAAGGTTGATAAGATTCGTAAGGTCTTATATCCTCATCTGTGAAATGGGGACAAATAATAATACCAACCTCACAGGGTTGACCTCAGGAATAAATGAGCCAGTAACATAAAATGCTGGGAGCAATACCCAGTGTGGAGCAGGCACTCAAAAACTTGTTGCCTATTACTTAGTAAACACACTTCTGGCAATGCCGCATCACCGTTAGGATACAGGAAGGGTTTACAGAAGCATCTAATTGAAAGGGGAGCTTTGGGACTTGTTTTCAAAAAGCATTTGCATAGCGAGCGAGCCTTTGTTCCTTTCTCGATATGTCTTCACACTGAGGGGATAACAGAAGTACCTTCTTCATAGAGCTCTTGGGAAATCAATGAAACGACACATATAATGTACTCAGAAGAGTGGCCAGCCCTGAGCAAGCACTCGGCTCATGTCAGCTGTTTATTTGGGGTGAGGAAGTGCTGGAGATGGTGGGGAGGGAGGTAAAAATACTGTTGTGGCCCCCGCTGCAGCCAGGAAGCCTCTAGTTGGGTAGCTCTGTTGTGTTCTACAGCTAACATCAATCTTCCCTGCTATGGAAGAAGACAGCATTTAGACATAAGAATTTCCTGAGAATCAATCAGGGTGTCAGACAGAGCCAGGTTTCCAAGGAAGCCTGCTGACTCTTCCCTGGAAGTGCTCATTGGTCCAGGATGAACCTGAGGGCTCGTGCCTGACTGAGGACTGGACATCATGATGCCAGAAGGTCATTGTGGCCTTGGGACGCTAGCTGCAAAGCACCCGAGCTCCTGTAGCAAAGGACCAAGGACGTTCGGTCCTCCCGGACCTGCCAGGCTCAGGGTCAGGAAGAGGCGAGGGTGCTAGACCGTAAAACAAGGACCACGGGAGCACCCCTGGCTCTCAGCTGAGGAACACCCAAACACGTGCTTTCACTTGCTCACCTGCTCCAGGCCTGGCCCTGACCCCCCGCCTGTGGGTCCCCCGGGATGGAGACAGGGCCAGGGCCCTCGAGCGACGGGGAGAACTCCCTTAATGACAACAGAGAGCTGCACACATGATGCTGTCCAAGGAGACGGGGCGGCCACAGCGGAACCGGGGTTGCCCTGCTCGGCCACCAACACAGGATGCTTTACCTCGTGGATCCCAAAGTGGGCGTAGGAGTCGAAGTAATAGTCCCTCGAGGTCATCTCCTCCGGGTTCAGCAGCTTGGACATCTTGCCCCGTCCCGGGCAGCTGGGCTGAGTGGACACATGGTGGACACACTGCACAGGCTTGGCTGGGACGACGGGCTGCGGGGGCTGCGAGGGTGGGCTGCTCACCTGCGGGGAAGAGAAGGGGCAGGTGTGAACAGCACCCATGAGGTCCTGCCCTCTGAGACTCCACCCTCCCTCCTTCCCCCTCCCACCGCGCCCCAAGCCGGCTCCAATCAGCCACAGCAGCCCCAGTGAAGGGGCGGTGGTGTCCCCAAGCTGTTGGCTGTGCTGTGTGGGATGGTGGTGTGCTACCCAGGAGCCCAACCAACCTGAATTTAACCCAGTTCCATCTCCTACTAGTGGGTGACCTGAGCAGATCTGGGCCTCAGTTGGCCTATCTGTTAAATGGGGACAATAATACCATCCCTTAGAGGCGAATAAAGGGAAAGATGTAATGGCATCACACAGCATCCCAGAGCAGAGTGGCTGGAGTATGGATTCCAGAGCCAGCCCCCCGAAACGTGAATCCCAGCCCCGCCACTCGCAGCTACACAACCTTGGACAGAGTTATTCACCTCTTGGTGCCTCAGTTTCCCCAACTCTAAAACGGGAATAAAATGGTCCACACGTCCTAGAGTCATCCTGAGGATTAGACAAGTTGGTGTCTGGAAAGTGCTTAGAAAAGGGCCCAGCGCATCGTGAGTCTGAGTTCTTAAAATGAGTCCCACCTGCGTCCTTAGGCAGATCAAGCCCCTGGACTTCTCTCCACCCTGCAAGCAGCACCTGGCCCCCAAAATGCAGGTCTCTTAGGTTCTGGTTTCTCACACCTGTTGTCTTGCCGCTCCACCACCCCCAGTTTCTGATTCACAGTTTTACTCTGAACATCAGCAGAAGTTTCCTCTGAAATGCAAGCGCCCACACTGAGAGCCAGCCTCCTGCCAGCGCACTGCCCTTTCCTGGGTTCCCCAACCCTGACAGCCAGCTCAGCTCCACACACCACAGCTGCTGCCCGGCACTGACCAGCGCTTCCTCTTCCACAGGCTAACGGGAGGACAGAGGAGGAGATGGACGCCCAGAGGCTCAGAGTTCACTGCAGAAGCATCGTTCTGCCGGGAGAAGAAACACCTTTCCCTGAAGTGTAGGAAATCCAGATGTGCACGGCACAGCAAAGGCCTCAAAAGGGGCAGGATTCTGAAAAATCTATTTTCAGTGATGAGTTAATATTTGTAAAGAGTTTAGAACAGTTTCTGGCATATAGTAAGTGCTCTATTATTGTTATTCTCATTAGTAGTAGCAGCAGTACTCAGAGTACATTAACATCTCCCTATTCTATGCCTCAGTTTTCTCATCTGTAAGCTGGGTCAATGCAGACTTACTATCTCCTTTCTAGCAAGGGAAACAGGGAGGTCCTAGAGCAAGATCAAGAAATCCGAGTCCATCCCCTCCATCGTGCCCAGAGTCCCAGGCTGGAGGGGAGCAAGCTGGGGAGGGTGGGGTGATGGTCCTGTTTTCCTGGTGTATCTAGGCTACAGCCTCTGGGAAATAGGCAGACTTCCCAGTTTAGCAACATCAGGTTTCAGGTCGGCACGATCCCGGGCTGTCTGGCAGCAGAGGCAACGGGCTGCCTCATTAGAATGCAGCAGGTGTGCCCACCCTCCACTTGGGATGTTGGTCACGGTCTCCAGGAGGCTAAAAATAGACTGTCAATTGCACACTCCCGTGCTGGCTGCAGTCACCTCTAAAGCTGGAGGAGGCTCTGTGCATGGAGCTCACCCCAATCATGACTCCATTTAAATGTATTAAGGAGAGAGAAAGTCCCAGCTGGACCAGGCTCTTGCATGGTCAAGGTCACAGGGGCCTCCTGCACCCCTGAGCTCCACTCAACCCTGAGCTCGAGGTCCCTTTCATGGGGTCCCCTGAGATTCTTTCGACGGTGCCAACTTACGAAGTGCCCACCACACACCATGCATCACGCATCACGCGTTGCATCACGAGGCAAAGGATGGATGGATTCAGGGTCCGTTTACCTCAATAACCACCGGTCACGGGGACAAAGAGGTGACTGTGAACCAGGCCCTGGGGCCGGAGGCTGTCAGCCCAGTTCGGCCTCCTGCAGAGGCGGACTTGTGCTCTGCCCATCGGCTAACAGGGGGCCCTGTCCCAGGAGGCTGGGCCTGCGGTGGGGAACAACAGTGATGATCCCCAGGCATCACCACCTGGGCTGGTGCTCGTTATTCCACAAATACCCACTGAACATTGGCGGCTGTGAGTGCTGTATGGTCCCGTGGAAGAAACAGACGTGCGGGAACCGTGCCCTCAAAGGACGCTGTCTGGTGGAAGCGGAAGACCCCTGAGGCTCCACTGGATGATGGAGAAAGACTTGTTTTACAAGAGAAGGTCAAGCAGATTGCTCTGGGGGTTCAAAGGAGAGAGAAGTCACTTCAGTGAAAGAGTCAGAGAGGCCCGGGATTGCTGGGAGCTTTCTCCACAGATTTTGGTGGGGGGGCGACAGTGGGAGGGAGCTCTTGGAGGGTGTGGCTTCCGCAACCAGGAAAAGTGTGGAACAGCAGTGAGTGTGTCTGGGGAACTCGGCCCGGATAGTGGGAGATGGGGCTGTCAGAGATTACAGCCGGGCTAAGAGGTTGTATTTATTTATTTATTTATTTTACTTATCTATTTTATTTATTTATTTTTTTTTTTGCGGTACGCGGGCCTCTCACTGCTGTGGCCTCTCCCGATGCGGAGCACAGGCTCCGGACGCGCAGGCTCAGCGGCCATGGCTCACGGGCCCAGCCGCTCCGCGGCATGTGGGATCTTCCCGGACCGGGGCGCGAACCCGCGTCCCCTGCATCGGCAGGCGGACTCTCAACCATTGCGCCACCAGGGAAGCCCCGAGGTTGTATTTAAATACGAGACGACGGGGAGCTGTTGGCACTTTGTAACCAGGGAGTTCTAGGCTTGAGCTCTAGTTGGGGAAAATTGATGCGCTGGTAGCCTGCAGGAGGGGCAAGGGGGAAGGAAGAGGGGGGCACTCGGGCTGGGGAGGCAAGGTATGACCTCTGAGGCCTCTGGTTCCAAAGTCCAGTCAAGAGATAACGAGCCACTGTGGTGTCAGAAGGGCTGCCTGCAAGAGAAATAGCAGAAACAGACCCACAGGAGTTGGCAACTGGCGGAACGGAGGGGAGAAGAGAGAAGTTGGAATCAGAGATGACTTCAACATTTCAAGCCTGGGTGGCTAGGAAAGTGGTGGTGACATTAACAGGAATGAGTGAGTCAGCAGGAAGAGCCACGTGGGGCGGGGGGAAATAATGAACTTCGGTTTGGCTCTGAGAAGTTGGACGTGTCATTGCATCATATAAGGAAAGATGTCTGGCCGGCAGGCAGTGATGCCGTCCCAGCCGGTAAATACCATAAACACAGCCGAAAGGTCAACGGCAAAGTGAGAAGCACATCTCTAACATACATGGCAGACAAAGGTTAATAACCTTAATATGGAGAGAGCCCTGACAAGCCAGTCCAATTTGACAGTGGACAGACGATCTTACAGTCAATTCACATGAGGCTAAACGCAAACGGCAAATTAACGTGCTGCAAATATATTAACCTCTCTAGAAATCGGGTAACTTCAAATGAACACAGAAAGTTATAACTTTTAAATACCAAATAAGCTCAAACCTCCCCCTTCCAAAAAGACTAAAACTGCATTTGTAATGGTTGCAGAAAAGTAGGTGCTGACATATACCTTTAGTGAGACTTCTGAGAAACTAGTTTGACAAAATGCACTGAAAAGCACAAATCCTTTAACCCAGCCATTCCATTTTTGGGAATTTATCCTAAAGTAAGGATAAATCTTGAGCACGTAGCTGTACGAATTTTGTGACGACACTATTCGTCATGGCAGAAAATAAAGAGTCAACCTGGGGGTTCCATGAAACAGAACCGATTGTACAAACTACGGTGCGTCCACACTGGAGGTGACACAGCCGCTTCAAATGTCGCAGAAGAGTGTTTAACGAGAGAAACGTGATCGTGACAAACTGTGGGTTGAGGAGAACCAGTGGGAGATGAGAACACAGTGTGATCGCGTTTTTAGAATTAAAACGTTTTCATGCCTGTGACTGAGGAGGGGAAGGCACTGGGATGGGCCGCAATTGTCACGGTGCTTGTTCACGGGGCTGTGAACAGTGCACACTTTCCTTCCTTGTGCTTGTTATATATATATTTTTTAAATGTATGCCACTAACAAGTACTACATTTGTAAACAGCCAAAAGTAGAAATTTGGAAATGTGATCCCAGACCTCGGATGGGAAACTGAGGCTGGCTCTCTGGATTTGGAAACCATCCGCAGAGCGGAGCTGAGGGGTTCACTTGGGAGAGACCCCCAGAGAGGGGGTAGAGGGAGTGAGGATGGGGCAGGGAGAGAAGCAGGAAGCATCCTTCTCTGAGGACCTTGGAGGTACCAGGGGACCTGGGGGGAGAGACTTGGGAGGATGTGTCCTCATGCCTCCAGTTCTGTGACTGCCCCTCCTCTAAAGATGTGTGACCCAGGCGTTGTACTCCAGTGACCAGACGGCGGCACTAAAACAAAGCCAACCTTTGTCTAGCCTCATGTGTCCAGAGGACGCTGTGTTCAGGAAGTTGTGCAGTCACCTCTAAAGCTGGAGGAGGCTCTGTGCGTGAAGCTCACCCCAATCTTGACTCCATTTAAATACATTAAAGAGAGAAAAAGTCCCAGCTGGACCAGGCTGTTGCACAGTCAAGGTCACAGGGGCCTCCTGCACCCCTGAGCTCCATTCAGCTCTGAGTCCAAGGCCCCTTCCACAGGGTCCCCTGAGACTCTTTGTCTGGTTCTGGTAACATATCCACATGGTTGTCTCCAGCCTTGGACTGCCCTGTCCTGCTCTCCCCCTTCCTCCCCAGGGCCCAGGGCTCAGGGCGCTGCTCTGGGGGAAAACCTCCCGCTGCTGCCTGCCCCCCAATCCGCTCAGGGTCACCTTCCACTGAGAGGATTTGTGAATTTGTCTTCTATTCTTAGTACCAACTGCTGATCAGGACTCTTCAGATGCTGTGTCCTGCCCCCAGGCCTGGCCTTTCCCAGGGCATCTTCAGCACAGTGTTTCTCCCC